GAATTGTTAATGTTACGACGTTCTAATGAATACTAATTCCGTTATTGCCATCTTTATTCTTATTTTGACAATTGGCCTACCAGTATCGAGATCAATTTTTATTCACATACATTTTGAAAAGAATAGCCAGATTTGATTATACACAATTGAATTAAAATGAAAAGCTTTAAAATACGTCTCCTCTTTGTATTTTTCATAAACATAGTTCTAAATACAGTGTATCAAATGAACTTCTGCTCAGAAATGGATGAACAGTGGCTCAAGGATGATTCATATGAAATAAGATCGGCTAAATTTTATTCCATAAGCGTGACCAACCAAGACCAAGTCTAGTCGATAGAATAATAATTATCGACTGCAATCACTAGCTGCTCGTAAGCGGACAACACTTTTGCGCAATGAACTGTCTTCAAAAAAGACAGACTATAAAAGGTCTGACAGAAATTTCATTCGTAGAATCTTAAACATCTGAAAATTTTCATTCCTTTTCCTTTCCGAGATGTATCTGTGCCGATAAGGAACCACCTAGATATACTTGGTCTGGACTTATCGTCCAACCTCAACTTTGGGCGATACATCGAGTGCTTGGCAAAAACTGCTGCCAGAAAACTAGGCATACTTTAGAAGGTCAGGTGGTACTTCACACCTGAACAGCTTTTACATCTGTATAAAGCACAAGTTCGATCGTGTATGGAGTATACTGCTGCCACCTTTGGGACGGCTCTGCCCATTACCAGTTAGCTGCCTTGGACTCGGTGGAGCAAAAAGCAAAGAGACTTATTAACAACAATTCTCTTGTGGAGTCGAAGTCGCAAAATCTCGACCATCGCAGAAAAGTAACTTGCTTGTCGGTTTTCTATCGGATACATTTCCGGGAGTGTGCGCAGGAACTTTTCAATTTAGTTCCACACTCACCGTTCCTCCTTCGGGCGACTAGAAGGTCCAGAGCACCCCATTTTTTATGTCGTTAATATTCCACCTATTCGCACAAAGCGCTTTGCTTCCTCCTTTCTGATGCGTACGGCAAAGAAATAGAATGTTCTACATCTGTATTTCCCGAAAAGTACAGTTTGGGGCTATTCAAGGCAAGAGTGAATAGGCATTTTTTAGGCAAACGCGTCCCCTCGTCGCTTAACATCAGGTGAAATTGTGCCCAAGCGTGATATCATTTTGCAGATGTGATCATATTACACAAAGGGTGCTAAATCTTATTTGGATATAAAACGGAGCAGTTCCCAACATCGATATCCACACGAAGTAATAAATACAATGTCACAACCTTTAAAATTACCAACCCCGCCCAGAAACGGTTATAACATAATGCTTTGACCTCTGACTCGTGTTTCAAAACAACCACCTGTCTGCCGCTGAGTCCTTAGTACCTTTGAAGCCTCTCATGGCTTTTGTCACGTATAATATGTTTTTAAAGTTTTTGACCTTTGTCAATCATAAAGTTTTTTTTATGATACCAAGTAACGGGACGAACAAGTCATGCGCCTGATAGTGAACGACACGCCTGGCTTGAACAGTAGCAGTACTACACAGTGCTTTCAATCGCAAAGATCTGAGGAAACGACATGAAACAAACTATGTATTTATATATAATGGGAAACATTAAAACTCTCCTGCTTAATTTCGTTAGTCAAATTCAAATAATCATTTATTCTATGGGTAATTTTTACACATGAGAACGTAATTTTTTGAGATACTGCTCGTTCACTACGCTGACCTCCCTGAGAAGAACGAGCAAGAAACTCTAGGGTTGTTTTTTTCAAATAAACTTAAATGCTTTGAATCATAATTGTATGGAATCAAGACTCACGTTGTCTTTCCATACATCTTTATCTGACATATACTCTTCAACTTTGTAATATGACTTTTCAATTAAAATACTTCCTACCTCTCACCTGGAAAGTTTTAATTTGGAGTGTCAAGGGTGAATTGGACACCGCCATTATTCGTGATGAAAAGTTGAAACATAAACACTTTCTCCACAATTAGTAGTTAACGTCTGTCTCGGTACATTATGTCTTCCAAACGATACATTACAACGAAATTCTTCTATCTCGTTACCTTTGCGTTGTAGCCTAATTGTTTGACCTCGCGCTCTCTCAAGCAGAAAGTCGTGCGTTCAAATCCGGGCTTGAACCTCGGAATATAAATGTTTTTACGAAATTAATTTGAAATTTACCATGAGCGTTTCAGTGCAGAAAATCGTCGTTAAGAAACCTGCACATATCAATTTCAATTCAATTTAATGGTTTGCGTGGAAACCACAACTCGAGTATTCTCAAAAAATTCTCTCGTTGTGAGAGGTCTGCTAAAATAAGTATAACACAGTAAAAAACAAAGCCCCGTACTAGGGAAACCCTGTGTCGCATAGACAACCACAAATGGCCATACAAATATTTTTTCCGGTCCAGAAATCGACTGCGTGGTAGACCAAAATGGTAACCGTTCGGCCACGGAAGCAGTTAAGTTAGTATTACTTATTTCATAATTGACTTACTACAGATTTGGGGATATCTACATTTGTAAGTTGTGACACTTACTTTTCTTACTGTTGTAGTAATTACTTAACTTTTAAAACTAGATATAAAAACATGTTGGCACTATCACGGTTTGTTATACCACCATGTTTAAAGCAAATAAATGAAAACCACACACAGCAAATTTGAATTTTAAGTTCCTATGGTTAGAGTTTATAATTTGATTTTATCGTTGACAATGATATATCTCTATTTTGGTTTGAACTACTTTCAATGATAAGTATGAAAGTGTATTTTTAGGATACCACAAGTGCTGGAACAAACAAGTCGTGCGCCTGGTGGTAAGTGACACGCATGTCCGCAGTGCCACTCAGAGCTTTAGATCGTAAACATCTAAGAGTCACTGCCACTGCGTTCGTTACCCTGTGACGTAAGTTGACAAGTCCCATGTGTACGTAATTTGAAACGCATTACTGCTTGGCGGCAGAAATAGGGTAAGATGACAGGACTTCCTTGGACGATCTTTTTCACAAGGAGCTCTACAAATCTCTCTTTCAAATCAAAATTCAGAACAAAATTTATTCTTATTAGAAACAACTTTAAATCGAATATTTTTAGTTGTATACTGTAATTTGCTACGTGCACGCAACTATACCTTATTTAAACCAACAGGTGAACGAGACAGACTAATTGAGGGAACATTAAAGATTTCGAAGAAAAAAGTACCAAACCAGTGCATTTACTCAAATATTTTGTATGCGCGTAAAAATATATGTACATAATTTCATTAAGAAAGAAGATATCCATGATACTAACCTTAGAACTAACTCCAAACTCATAGTACCACGATTTGATCTAACTAAGGTAAACGATTATTTTGTGGGGGAACTGTATACGTTTTTACAATAAGATTCCGGAGCATATATTAAGTTTACTATTTCCTAAGTTTAAAACTTACATTAAAAGTATTTTAATTGAAAAGTCATATTACAAAATTGAAGAGTATTTGTTACTTAAAGACGTATGGAAATACAGCATGAGTCTTGATTCCACACAATTATGATTCAAAGCATTTAAGTTTATTTGAAAAGAGCAATCCCTAGAGTTTCTTGCTCGTTCTTCTCAAGGAGGTAAGAGTAGTAAACGAGCAGTAAAAAATGACGTTTTCAAGTATAAAAAATTTTACCTATGGTATAAATGATTGTTTGACTTTTATCTAACTCCCCGAGTCCTAATAAAATCCTTAATATTTTATCCGTTCCTTAAGAAGGTCAGGTACGTGTTATACCTACAGAATAATCTTTATTATATCCCTTAGAATAGAAATAACTTTTGCATCAACTGTTAGGGCCTCTTGTGTACGGAATATCCTATTTTCGAGCCTCGAGTTTTCTATTATAATCTTTACTTCGTGGAATTCGTTTTCGAAAACATGGTTATAAAAACACTCTTGGAATATAAAGTAAACATGCGAAGGAAAATATTTAAATAATTGTCATTGACTTACAATTATATGGACGTCGGGTCCGCGCTAAAAAGTGTCCGCACTTGTAAGGCGCTAAAATCGTATACAGAGCGCGACACTCCGCTTTAGTCTTCATTTGTTCTACTGACAGCGCGATACTGCGATGACATTACAATTTAAATTTCGAATAGGTTGACTTGGGACATTTTTTTCGTGGTTTTTGTATTAGACCCGTCGTCCATTTATTTGTAAGTCAATGATAATTGTAATTGCTTTGTCTTGTAATATAATTTGTCTCACATTACCGCCAAATTTTGACGAGAATTAAAAAAAGATCTCACATCAATTCCGAATTCAAAATACAATCCTCATAACCCTGGCATGCCATTTCATTCGCCTGTCGTTTCCTCATATACAAACTTTTTGCGGCAATTTCAAATTCAAAGTGTCTAATAACAAGCGAGATGAGCAAAGAGGTTCTATTATTGGACTGGCTCCATCTCCCCGCGCCGCTCCCCCTCCTCGCATCTGTACCGATCGATAGCTGCCTGTCTGAAAATAAATAAATGTATTTATGGTGAAAATGCCACGGCCAATCTGATTGACGAGTTTATGATTTGATAAAAGAAAATACAAAATTAAATATTTTACACACCTTCGAGCATGTCATAGCGTGGTTTTCATACGAAGTCGATCCCACGCAGCTGGGAATTTTTTTAAATTTAAATTTAATTTTATGAAAGTCAGGAGAGCATTTTCAGTTATCTCTATTAAATTAATTACTAGGCTCGGTTTAGTGCACGTCACTCTGACTTCTACGAAGCCTTTCCTTAGAAATTTTTATACAACAAATCCTCTTTTCTATTGATTTGGTCAAAGTAACTTACTTTCGGTCATTATGTCTACTAAAAGTAAGCACTTTTCACTTTTCGTCCGATAATGTTTTAATTAACTCGTCATGCCGTATAAGATGGCTTCTCTCTAATCACTTTCTGTTAACTCCTCTTTAATAACTGTTCAACAGATTCCCCCCATCCGCCTCACCTCATCCCAAAACCCTTGATGTTTTAGGGTTTTGCACCTGTTTAATAAGGAGTTCCAACCATACATCCGAACAGGTATTCAACTTGTGATATCTATTTTCAGAAAATTTTGAAATCTCCTTCAACACCGTTTACTATGCTAGCCTATTTATAGTAGCAAGTTAACGGCACAATAAAAACTATTGTATACGTCCATTGGACACGTTTCTCGACTATGAAAGAGAATCGTATAAATAACGACCTTGATCGGGCGCTAGGTGATGGTGTCTCTGTTTTCATTCTGGCCAACGTTAATTTAGGAAACTAATTGGTTTATGGAGTTGATTTTATCTCTGTGGCGCGAAAGTTCGACAATTTCACAGGCTATAATAGTCCTAAAAATAGCTCCAAGTAGATACGTAGCACATATAAATACAAGTACTAGCCGAGAAGTCTTGAAGTCCTTACCAAAGTCGGCAAGTCGGCATATGTCGCTCAGGTAATTTCAAACTTGCTCCAAGGTATTGAGGGCAAAGTCGCACCCTTGTCAAACAAATGACGAAATTCGCAGCTTTTCTAAGATACACAAAAGTGTCAGCCTTACTTAAAATAAAATATTTTGAGTAATTTTTGGCGCAGATTGCGTTTCTTAATTTCTTTCTTCTTTCTTTAATCATTAAGGTCAGAATGAACAGGTGTATGTGTAACGTACCTTTACTCTCTAGCAGATGGTATTGTGAAATAAGTCTGTTTTTAATAAAAAAAGACATGTTTACTTTTTTGTGACCTTCTCCAAGAATACCCCTGACAAATCGAATGCCCCAAAAAATACATGTTACTAAGTCCCCCAATCACTGTCCTTCACTTGGACACGTCTTTGGAACAATTTGTAACTCGCTGTGACTTATTGGAAAAGTTGAGCAAGTCTAACCTCGAACAGAACCTCGAACAGTGGCTAAAAATTTTTACTGACCGAAATTTCTAAGGTATTGTAACGGCCCATATTGCCTACCCATTGTAGATTTCTTTTTGTTGATTCATTGTTTCCACAGCCTGGTAATCTTGTGCACTTTTCGACCAGTCATTCCAATTACCACGCCACCTTTTGCTGGGTCTGCGACGCGAAGTGAGGCTCGTACAATACAGGCTAAATGAATGAAACCCAAAATATTATAATAAAACAAAAATTACGCATTTTTGCAATCAGTGAGAAATCTATTCAAGTTTTGCTTCATTTACCGCTACCAGCGGCTGACTGCGGTTTTGTAAAACACGGTATACTGAAAGCGCTGGTACGAATCCAGAAGGAATTTTTCTTAGTGTTCGATCTTTGTATTAATAACTAGTGGATTAATTTCACAAGAAATAATAAACATCATGGTAGGAAATTAAACTATTTTTCCGGATTTAAATCGCGTATATTTGTTTTTTCAAACAAACCGACGTTTCGGGCCCTTTACAATAATATTGATGCGAACCACCCTATTTTTTTCACTATAGTTACAAAATAGGGTGGTTTGCATCAATATTAGACATGACTGGTTGAAGACTGTACCACGTCAGTCAACCGTGACCATGGGACCTGTACAGGGCCCGAAACGTCGGTTTATTAGAAAAAACAAATATACGCGATTTAATTCCGGCAAAATAGTTTCATTTCCTATGTGTAACAATCGCGAAAACCTAAGAACTCGATAAACATCGTGGTAGTAAAACACAGGGGTATTCAATAAACATAATATCGTATATATTAAAGCAACATCTGTTGTCAGCCATATGTAAACTTGGCTGAGTGAAGAAAAACTTTCATAGATTTCTTAGAAATGGCGCTACGGATAAAGTCGTTAAAAACCAAAAATAA